CTTACCTGGCCAGCAGCTTCCTAAGCAAGTTTCCTGACAGTCCCTTATCTCCTGCCCCAGGAGGGGTCTATGAGCAGGGTAAGGCACAGATGCCCTCATGTGTTCATGGTCTGGTCGTTAACAAAGTCACACATGACAATAGGGAGGTGTGGGGCACGGGAGGTGGCTCGGTGGGCAGAGTGCTTGCAGTACAGACATGGAGACCTGAATCTGAATTTGGATCCCTTGAACCCACCAAAAGCCACATGTCACGATGGTATGAGTGCTAGGGGAAGGAGGCTCAGGAGAATCCCAGGGGCTCAAAGGTGAACCCCAGCGCCCATAGAAGACGCCCACTGTCAGCTTCTGGCCTCACACTGACACACACGCTCCCATGGGGCAGTCTGTGCTGCTGGAGGACTACAGAACACAGGCTAAGCAGTCTGGAGGACGAGGACAGCCTGTGTGATACACACCTGTAACCCCAGAACTCACTCAGAAGGCAGAGGCATGAGGGCTGATACCTGGAGGATGAGTGGGAGGGTATGGGGGGCACCAGCTGGGAGTTGGGGAGAGTTCTCGGCAGAGGGGTCAGAAGTGTGAAGGCTGACACAGAGGAAGAGGTGGCCGCAGACCCCGCAGGGTACACTGGAGCAGGAAAACACCAACACGGCCACAGCAGTGCAGGAAAGGACAAGCTGGGGGCTGGAGAGCTGGCTCAGAGGTTAGGAGCACGACCTGCCCTTCCAGGGGCTCTGAGTTCAATTCCTAGCAACCTCATGTTGGCTCACAACCATCTGTACTGAGATCTGGTGCCTTCTGCTGTGTAGGCATACATGCAGACAGAACACTATCTATGTAATAAGTATATCTTAAAAACAAAACAAGTTTTAAAAAGACATAACACTCTATACATAATAAATAAATCTTTCAAAAAACACAAAAATAAATAAATTTTAAAAAGACATAGAAGATTAGTGTCTCTGTGTGTGCAAATACATGTCTAGGAGCATGCGCACACAGGACACTCTGTCAGAAGAGAGCACTGGGCCCCTGGAGCTGGAGGTATGGGTGGATTTCACTTTGCAGCCCTCGAGTTCACTCTCTAGACCAGGCTGGCCTCGAGCTCGGCGATCCCCCTGCCTCTGCCTCCTGAGTGCTGGGATTAAAGGTGTGAGTCACCACTGCCTGGCAAAGCAGTTTCTTTATGTAGCCTTGGCTGTCCTAGAACTACCTCTTGTAGACTAGGTTGCCCTCGAATTCACAGAGATTTCCCCCGGCCTTTGCTTCCCGAGTGTTGGGATTAAAGGCCTTGTCCACCATCGCCCGGCCCACTGCTAGACTCTTAATGGCAAATACTTTCGCCTCACTGGCGCCCTCGTTTCCTAGGCCCTCTAAGGGCTGCAAGGCGCTGTACTTGATCCACTAGTGTTTCAGTTCGATACTGACACCTGCTGGTCACATATGGCTCAGCAGCCTTGACCCTGGCACCTGCTTCCTGCCCGTACTGGAGGCCAGGCCAGGCTGTGCCAATCTCACCTGCCCGAGCCTGAAGACACTTGTGACAACGCTGTTCTTCCGCACCACTCGATGACCTTCAGCGCTTCCCTCACCGACCCCCACATGAAAAATCTGAAAATTCTCAGTACCACAAGAATATTAGGCAGCAAGAAAGAAGCAGCTGAGGCGGAGGGGGTGCAATCGGCCCCTCCCACCTCAGAGTCCGCGCTTCCTACAGAATTCCATTCCTTCTGACCTTTGTCTTATTTCTAGGTTGCTCTCGGGGACACGAGACTTCTTGGTGACAGCGATGATGAACCGGAGGTTGAGAGTAGGTGGGCGGGGCTTGGGGTGGGGCTAGACCAAAGGGCCTCTTAGGAGCTTCTCCATTCTGTTAGCTCTCAGGAACAACCGAGGCGAGACTGGCACCCAGCACCCAGCAGGTGAGAGGGTGGCTGTGAGAGAAGGGCAGGTTTTGGGGTGACAGTGCGGGATACTCCTACCCATTTACCCTGACCTTCCTTTCTGTATTGGGGAATCCTTGAGTCCCCACGAGAACCACTGCAGCGGATGGGACAAGGCATATCTGGAAGAGAGACCTGGCCTTGGATGAGGGCTGAGTGCAGGCTGAGGGAATGGAGGTGCACAGTGGGGCACGGCGGAGGTTTAGAGACGTAAAGTCTCTTTGGGCATGGAAGGACAGTGGCACAGAGGGAAAGCTTGGCTAGGCTCGAGGGTCACGGGGATGACGATGTAGAGGCTAGAAAGAGAAGGCCAGAGACAGAGAGACCTTGAGAGGCCGGGGACCTAACTGGAGATGGCAGTAGGGGCAATGGGGGGCCAGGAAGGCAGGAAGGCTCATGTGGAGCAGTCACCCCCACTGTGGAGGGCAGTCCTACCGAGCCCAGGGCAAGCCAGGAACAAATCAAGGCTACAGCTTCCCGGTGGAGTGGTTCAGCTGGAGGAGAAAGCCCCCTGGCTAGTCTCCCTCTGCCTCTTCAGACTCCCATTTTCATTTGGGGGAGAGGGTGAGGTTGCTCCTCATTGCGGTCACAGCCACATCCTGCAGAGCAGGGGAGGGGGAAGTAAGAAGCAAAACAAGCAGAAGCACAGTGGAGGACCATGGCCTCGCCTTAGGCACCAGCTCCACCACCGGGAGGGCCTCAGCTCCAACCCCACCGCTGCCGCCCAGCCTTCCTTAGTGGGCTGACACCTCATTGGTACCACTCTTTGACTGAAGGGGCTTTGGGGGGATTATTTAACTTGTAGCCTAATATTTTTTACAATTGTTTTATTTTAAATTATGTATATGAGTGTGGATGGGGAGGCCAAAGGTGTTGATTTCCCTGAGGCTGGAGTTATGGGCAATGGTGAGTCGCCTATGAGTGTGTGGGTCAAGCCACCTCTCCCGCTCCTCGAAGCTGGTTTCTCATTTACCAGGACAAGTAGCTTAAGTTCTCTTAGCCTTGCTGGGCGGTGGTGGCACATGCCTTTAATCCCAGCACTTGGGAGACAGAGGCAGGCCTGCTCTATAGAGAGAGTTCCAGGACAGGCTGGACTGACTATACAGAGAAACCCTGTCTCAAACAAACAAACAAACAACAAACAAGAAGTTCTCTTAGCCTGGAGACTGGAAACCGAGACAGTTCATATTAAGCACCTGCACACAGTAGGCCTCTGAAAATGCCAAGTGCTCCCCCACCCCCCACGAGACAGGATTTCTCTGTTTAACAGCTCTGGCTGTCCTGGAACTCACTCTGTAGATCAGCCTGGGCTTGAACTCACAGAGATCACCTGCCTCTGCCTCCCAGGTGCTGGGACTAAAAGTGCGCACCACCACCGCCTGGCACCAAGACTTCTTATTAGGATTCTAGAGACCTGTATAATCCCACTTCTTTTAAGGTTCTAGGGTACCCTACTGACATGGGCTTTTTTGATCTGAAGCCTGGAGACACGAGGGTAGTGCCTATGTTTCTTGATGCAGGATACACATTTAGCATCCGTAACTGGTATCTGTTCAAATTCCCTGCCAAATGGGCACTAGGCTCTCCATCGTGGCAGTAGTTTCCCGCTCTAAGAACCCAATTATCGGGCTGGAGAGATGGCTCAGAGGTTAAGAGCACTGACTGCTCTTCCAGGGGTCCTGAGTTCAATTCCCAGAAACCACATGGTGGCTCAGGGCCATCTACAATGAGATCTGGTGCCCTCTTCTGGGGTGTAGGTACGCAGGCAGAACACTGTACATAATACATAAATAAATCTTAAAAAGACAAAAAAAAAAAAAACAATTATGACCATACTCCTCCGGCCAAGGCTCTCCCTGCTCCTCTGTGCTGTTTTGGAGAGGCACAAGTCTGAGTTTACAGAAATAAAGGGAAAAGCAGAAGCAAGGCTTACAGGATGGAGGGGCCCCATGGGGAGAGGGAAGACAAAGCAGCCAAAACAAAGAAAATGGGGAAAAGCCATTTCTCTCTCTTTCTCTAAGGACGCCTGTGGCCTCTTCTAGGGACTGACCACATACCCACCCCGGTGCCATGGAGTCATTCAGCTCGAAGAGTCTGGCGCTACAAGCAGAGAAGAAGCTACTGAGTAAAATGGCTGGTCGGTCCGCAGCTCATCTCTTTATGGACGAGACCAGCAGCGAGGTGCTAGATGAGCTTTACCGCGTGTCCAAGGAGTACACGCACAGCCGGCCTAAGGCACAGCGGGTGCTCAAAGACCTCATCAAGGTGGCTGTCAAGGTGGCCGTGCTGCACCGCAGTGGCTGCTTTGGCCCTGGGGAGCTGGCTCTGGCTACACGCTTTCGCCAGAAGCTGCGGCAGGGCGCGATGACCGCGCTCAGCTTTGGTGAGGTGGACTTCACCTTCGAGGCTGCTGTGCTAGCGGGCCTGCTCAGAGAGTGCCGGGACATTCTGTTGGAGCTGGTGGAGCACCACCTCACCCCCAAGTCACATGACCGCATCAGGCACGTGTTTGATCACTACTCTGACCCTGACCTGCTGGCAGCCCTCTATGGGCCCGACTTCACTCAGCACCTGGGCAAGATCTGTGACGGGCTCCGGAAGCTGCTGGACGAGGGGAAGCTCTGACTGGACTCTGGCAAAATGACTGACCGGGCTTTCTAACCCTGCTCAAGCGCTTTTCAATCCCTGGCTTCATTCTCCCCCAAGGCTGTTGACGCCCAGGCTGCTCCCACCCCCAACTGCTGGCAGAGCACAGCAATGGGCCGACTGAGGTGGCTCTCCCATCCCGTGCCAGCAAAGGAAACAGCTGACTGAGGAAGATGAAGTGAAACTCGGGTCTGTTTCTCCCAGGAGGACTGCCCGAAACGGGATCCTCCTCTTCCACGAACCCAAGGAAGGGGGCACGGAAGGCCAGAAGCAGGAAGGCGGCGGTCAGAGGCCTCTAGATCTCCTCGAGCTGGAGGGAGCCCTTGGACACATACCAGAAGCTGGGTTCCAAAGTCTCTAGAAGGAGTCGGGGGAGGGGAGGCACAGGGGAAATAAAACCACTAAAACACGCGCAGGGGTCACTGTTTAATCTCCCCAGCTCCACACTCAGGCTGGACATAGCGGCGAGGACTCATCTCGCCGGTTCCCACTTGGGAACAGAAGCAGGCAGCCTCCAGTACTACTGAGCTGCTATGCCTATTCTTCAACTTCAGGAACAAAGACACACTGTACTGCAGATCGGGTCTACCGATTACAAAGAGATACGAGGTGAGGAACATAGGCAGGCTGGGGTGTGCTCTGCAACTGCCTCCTGCACCCCAAGGCATCCTCTTCCACCCCTTAGCCCAGCAGGAGAGGGAAGAAGGTGAAGGGGTGGACTGGGAGGCTGTCAGTACCCCGCCCCACTGCTTCCTCTCAGAGCCAAGAACTGTCAAGAGTTAGAGGGACTGCTCACTTAGGACCCGACCTTGGGCGCAGGTCCAGTCCACCAGTCTCTGGTGAGTGTCACTGACTCTCCTGGCCTCAGTAGCATGCTCACTAGGGAGGTGAGAGGCGGGAAGGGTAAGCCGCCCTCGGGAGGCGAGAGGCGGGAAGGGTAAGCCGCCCACTCCCGGCTCTGGCTTTCCCTCTCTTCAATGATACAGAAATCACATTATTTCAGTTAAGAGGAGGAGGGAGTTAGATATAGCAAATAAATATTACTTCAATATAGCACCAAATAAATTAGGTAACGTCATTTAAGATGGGGGTGGGGGTCCTCTGCTCCCTGCTCTGACCCGGAGTGGTGGGAGAGACAGTAAGGCTGTAAAGGAGCCTTTGAATCTAAAGCACAATGCTAGATTCAGCCCAAGAACTGGGAAGAGTTCTGTTCCCATTCCCAACTCTTGGCAAAAAGTGTCCCCAGCTGAGGAAATCTTGACAGAGCTGGGCAAGATGGCGGGAGAGGAATGAGGCAGGCTGGGAAGCTCTGCTTTTGAGCCTCACCTTAGACACCTCCCCGCTCAACTGTTCCTTCCCAGCCTGCTTCTCGCATCAGTCCGGGGACATCAGAGTTTGAAGATCTCATCCTCCTGATCCCGCAGTGTTTGGGTCTGGGAAGTCCGGGTCAGTGGTACCGTCAGAGTTTGAAGATCTCATCCTCCTGATCCCGCAGTGTTTGGGTCCGGGAGGTCCGGGTCAGTGGTACCGGACCGAGCACTGCTCGCTGCTGCGTCCTAGGGGAGCCGAGGTGGAGCCCTGTGCCCTCCTCAGGGACCCTGCAGGTGAGGAAAGAGCAAGAGTGAGGGAGAACCTGAGAATGGACCCAGTACAAGGTGTGGGGGGCTGCCTTCCTTTGCTTCATGAGATGGACAGAGTCTCAATGTCACAGGGAAAACCGCTTGTCCTCACACTGTGCACAGTTCTTACCTCAGGGAGAACTGTGAGAACACAGAGGCCATAGAACCTACTTTCCCACTGCCTCACCCCCTTCCAGTTGCCACTGGCTCTGCTCATGGCCTCGGAACCATATGGGGAAAAGGATATCCTCCGTTTCCAGGCCATTCTGTTATTAGTTTGTGGTTCGCTAAAAGAGAGGGGTTTGTGCAGGGCCTTCGAGGGGCCAGCTGGAGACTCACCCACTTTCCCCTTTCCTCAGCTTCTGGGCAGCAGCCTTCTTTGATAGGCTGATCTGTGAATCGAGCTTCTTAAGGAAATCAGAGGCAGAAAGGTCATGGATGGGTGTGGAGGTTTCCTGGTGTGGCGGGAGGGCTTCGCCATTGGCCCGGCCTGATCCGGACTCTTGATTCTTCCTCTTCCCTGAAAGTGAACCAGCACCATGTTTCCTGGGTCGTACCTCCTCCTCTCCATCATTTTCCTCCTCAGAATCCAAACCATTAAACAGGTCTCTGGGCTCTGTCAGGATGGGAATGTAGAGGGTTTTCTTCAGGAAGATGGAGTCGTTAGTATAAAGGCGGTTTGTGCGCTTAATCTGTTCCATCTTAAAAAACAAAACAAAACAAAAAACACCCAAAATGAATGACCGACAGTAAAATCCACCTCCCCCCCACCCCGAGACAAGGTTTCTCTGTAGCTTTTGGAGCCTGTGCTGGAACTAGCTCTTATAGACCAGACTGGCCTCAAACTCACAGAGATCCGCCTGCCTCTGAGTGCTGGGATTAAAGGCGTGCACCACCACTGCCCGGCTAAATTCACCAATCTCATATAGCATCTCAAACTTTTTGTCTTCTTTTTTACTATGTAGGCCAAGCTAACGTCAAACCAAGCCTGGCTCAGGATCTAGGACTCTTGTCGTTGGTATGGTGGTGGGGATATGTGCACTTCAGTGGAGCCCAAAGACTGCTGCACTGTTTCATGCCTGCACCCACTGGGCCATCCTTCCAAGCCACCAATGCAAACGTTTTAAGTCGTTGTACAAGTCTTTGACTCCATGACACACCAGCTCAAGCATAAAGGCTGATGCTAATCATGTTTTACCGTTTTCCTATTTTCTAGTCTTAGGACACCTTCACATTTTTAAAAAATTATTGCAGCAGAAAACAAAAAGAAAAACAACCTACAACCCTTTCATTTATTTAAGGCAGCAAACAGGAGTGGTGGCAAAAGCCTCCTACCCTAGCTCCCTAGGGGCAGCCAAGAAGAGTCTGAAGCTAGCTTGAGTTCCCAGGGACGTTGTCTCAAACGAAACAGAACAAGCTACTAGTATTTAAAGCTAATAACTAAATAATTAATAACAATAAATTAATTACTAATAATTAAAGCTGAGGGGCTGGAGAGATGGTTTTAATAGTTAAAAGCACTGGCTGCTCTTGCAGAGGGGGACCAATTCCCAGCACCCACACAGTGGTTTACAACCATCCATAACTCTAGTTCTTGGTGATCCAAAACCCTTTTCTGACTTCTGGGGGCACCAGGCACCCCCATGGCACACAGATATACATGCAAGAAAACACTAAAAATAAACTTAAAATAAAATAACAAAGCTGAGCTAGGTGTGGTAGGGTACCTTTCTTTTTCCTGTTTTTTTTTTTTTTTTTTTTTTTTTTTTTTTT